GAGAGACAAGAAAGACAAGGCTCACCAAGCCATTTATCTTTCTGCCCTTCAGTTAATCCCACTTGTGTTTATCAGCCAGGCTGGCACAATAAACTATCTCAGGCCATTTGGATATTTCTAACATTTTGGGTCTGGAGAGTTCCGGTGGCAGGCTACGCATTGGTCTCTGACCTCAAGGACAGTACTTTAAAACCATCAGTAACTCCATGGGGAAAAGATGAGGCTTTCTATCTGCTAAAGACAGACTGTCTCAGAAACGCCCGGGCAGTTGTGCCCTGTCGCTGTGTGAGAATCGACTGAATAGCAGTGATGGGGTTTGGGTGAATGCCCCGCTTGGTGTTGCTCTTTAGTGAGGCATTGTGATGTTAGCTGGTATGGATTCCTTGGGCCTATTATGGCCCAAGGGCAGAAAGTTCTCCAACCTTGATCAACAGATAAAGGTGGTTAATCCAAAAAAACAAACCAACCCACTGTTTTGGAGTCCACACTGACCCCTAGGGCCCCCTCGGGCAGGGTAGAACTGCCCACCGAGGTTCTGAGACTCACTCTTGGAGGGGAGTGGAAAGCCCTGTCTCGCCCAAGGAGCAGCTGGAAGTTTCGAATTATTGGCCTTGCAGTTAGCAGCCAGCACAACCACTAAGCCAAGCCACCAGGCGTCTCGTCAGTGGTTGAAAGAATTTTAAAACAGAAAACTGTCCCCTCTGAAATCAGGATAAGTTTTCTACGTAAATAGACAAAAGAGCTCACTGGGGAAGGGAGAAGCATGTGAAAAAAATCTCAGTACCTGAGACATGAGGAATTTTTTAAAAATGAATTCAGGTGGGTCTTAGGACAAGCTGCTAGTGCAGGAGTGCCTTGATCCTTGTCTGCAGTTGTTGAGCTAGACCTGTGATCAGGTTTTAAAGCCATCCTGGTCTTCACGGAGGAAAACAGTGCTTCCCTCAGAGAAACGGAAGATAGGCACAAAGTAGACTTGAGTTCAGAGTTCAATTGCACAAAATCTATGCATGGAGTCAAATGACTTTTGATCACTTGGAATCTTTCTGGAACACTTCCTTGCCAAGATTCTCTGCTAATTTAACCTTGTTTTTCCAAGTCAAAACTTAACAACTTTGTTGTTTTGGGGAGGTTGTGCCTCTGCTGGGGCATTCTATACACTTCCTTGTTAAGACTAGGACCGTTTGTGGGGTGTGTTTCTCAGTTCTAAGTATTTCCTTGTATGTTCTGGAGAAAGTATTTTCCCGTGCTTTCCTGGTTGTGGGAGCTCTGGGAGCCCTGATAGTGTAATGGTTACACTTTGGACTGCAAATCACAATGCCGGCAGTTCAAAACCACCACCCGCTCCTTGAGAAAAAGATGAACTTTTCTTCTCTGGTAAAGAGTTCAGCGCAAGACACTCACAAGGCTAGTCCCACCCTGTCCTGTAGGGTTGCTTTGAGTGGGAATGACTTGATAGCAGGGAGTTGGATGTTTGGTTTTTTTTTCCTAATTTCACATGAACATTCTAGCATCTCACTGAATTCTGTGTAGTCATTAACGTTTCATGGTGTTTGTATGAACCGTTTTAGGCAGATCAGGACATCCTACACCCTACCAGGCGTTGGTCTGTGATTTTACAGCATCAGCACATTTCTGCTTCACAAGCCTCCCCAGGATGCCTGTTAGAGGATTCCGAGTGGCACTGTGGGATAAGC